AGAGTATCAGGAGCATGACCGCCACGATCAGTGTAAAAAGGATGTACAGGTCTGTATTAAAATATTTTTTAAAAATCAATGGACTGACCATAAATACAGGTGCCTAAACTTTTAGCCAAACATCTTTACTTATTTTTTTTTGTTCGGTTATTTTCCAGCTTTATAAGTGGAAGGAGACCCCATTAGCACCGCTTCATGCATTATTTCAAGCGTAAGCAGGCACCAAACATTCCATTTGCTAGCTTGATGACTTCCTCAAGCAAAAGAATCCCTGTCTAAAATCGAACACTCAGCTGTGAGGGGCAGTGATTTAAATTCTGTAGGCTTAAACACTTGGCCATTTAGATTAATCTTGTAATGAATCAAAATACAATCATAGTTTAATTCTGTTTTATTTACAAAACATTTTGAACATTGCCATAAAGGGAAACTGATACCAAAACAACATGGAAACAACAGTTTTCTGCTCTTTGTAACTATACGATGTATACAGAGATAGCCTTTCTATTTCTAAAATCTTAAAATTAGATATTAAAACAAAATTATATTTAACTTATTTTAGCTTTCTTAATGAAATATTCTTAATTAAATATAAAATTGTAATTGTGAAATATAATCAATATCATTCACTGACTCACTGTATATCACCAATTATGAAATTGTTGTATTTCCTAGAAAAACTTAACACAATTAGCACATCAGCAGCAATAATGACTTCACTATTACAAAACCATGTCAGCATGCACATCTGTACAGACTTGCCTGACTCTGTGCCAATTTTTCCACAAACTTTAAGGTTTGAAAAACATTCCAGCATAATATCTGATACCTATACACGTGAATTCTCTTTTAAGAAAAATGTTAAAATAGTTGCTTTTTAAAAAAAGATTGTAGAAATAATATTTAATTTACAACATATGATTATAATGTTTGATATGAATTACACATTATTATTAGTAAAGACATAACAGTGTAATTGAAAATCAAACATGTATATTGTAGTTCTAATGAATTATTTTTTCCATACATGAACTGTAAAAAAATAAGTAAATTTATTTGAAACTCAAATTAAAACTGAATTACATTCCCTGACACTATGTTACATTAGCATGATTATCGAGACAGGCCATGGTCTAATGGTGTAACACTTGGTTCAGAAGTGAAGGGTCTAAGAAGTGAGAGGTCTGACCAGTCAGGTCTGGACAGTGAGAGGTTTGAGCAGTGAGGGGTTTGAAAAGTGAGAAGTCTGAGCAGTGAGAGGTTTGAGCAGTGAGAAGTCTGAACAGTGAGATGTTTGAGAAGTGAGAGGTTTGAGAAGTGAGTGGTGTGAGCAGTGAGAGGTCTGGACAGTGAGAGGTTTGAGCAGTGAGGGGTTTGAAAAGTGAGAAGTCTGAGCAGTGAGAGGTTTGAGCAGTGAGAAGTCTGAACAGTGAGAGGTTTGATAAGTGAGAGGTTTGAGAAGTGAGTGGTGTGAGCAGTGAGAGGTCTGGGTAGTGAGAGGTCTGAGAGGTGAGAGGTGTGAGCAATGAGAGATCTGAAGATCTAGGCCACTTGTTTTTTTTCTCTCACTGATTCAGATTTTTTTCTTAAGTTATTAGCAAAATATGTGCAAGCATGTCTTTCAAAAATGGATAAAATGTAAATAACTTGATATTTTAATGCCAATTATACGGTGGTGTTCATTTGATTTGTTTGCCCAAGAAGACATAAAATTTATATATAACCAGGAAGTAATTATGCATATGCAAACTAATGTTTGTTATATATCCTGGTATATTATTAGGTATTAAGATTTTTGTACCGTTATATGGCCCTATTTAAACAGTAGTTTGTACTGGCTAGCAAATTACCTTTAATGTATGGCCATAGAACCAGTCAGGAATTTTTATTATGAATTTATACTGAAAACTTCCTTTTTAGAAAAAAAGTGAGATTTCTTGGTAAATTGACTGCAGCCATGTATATAAAACTATATAAATATCAAGATTGTCCAAAGAAAAGCAACATTACAAAAAACAAGATATCTGGTTTATGTCAAGCTGGAGTTAACACAACCTTTTTTGGACTGGCAAACTGTGGTAATATTTATCTATCTTAGGTTACTTTATCTTAAAAGCACAACAAGAAATCTTGTTACCTTGAATGAATTTTATCTGATGGGGTTTTCCTTTTTTAACTTGGTTATCTTTATCTGAATTTGATTGGCTGAAAAATAATATTGAAACATTTGAGAAAAATGAGATTATGTTGTAAATTTATCAAAAGAAGTAGTGAATGTATATACTTTTAAAAGTGTCAGATAAACTTCTTATCATTGATTTATTGGTTTGAAGTAAAAATTGAAATGTTTTTACAGTTGTATTAAACTAGAATAACCTGATTTTTTGATTTAATCAAAATATATCAATGAACTCATGAGTATCCTCTTTAAATAAGTTTTTTTGTCCCAAGTTAAAAAAAAAAAAAAAAAAAAAAATGTTTTGAATACAATATACATCATACCCTGCATTAAAAGAAAAAAATTACAGTTCTAAATATTGCAGAGATTTAGAAGATAATCCTGTTTGAAATGTTGCTTTCCCTTTAACCCTTACAACACTAAATTTCTTAAATGGACTTGCCCATCTTTCAATCTGGACTGAACCTGTGCATTCATTATTTTTAGGGAGAATTTCAAAAGTATTGCCTGAATAGTGAACAGAAAAAACCATGATCAAATCATGACGGCACAGATGTCTGGCTGATCTTGGTCTGCACGGGGCATATGTGTAGATTTGTTGCCCCCCATCAGACTAAGGGTTCAAATCATATTGTTATCAAAGAAAACTGAAAAACTTTGAACTTCATTTGAAAAAAAACCCTTGTGGCTAAGGGGCTGCATTGGTTGAGGCATAAGAATTGCAGGAACCATTTATCCCTGCGTGATCATAAGAGGCAACTAAATGAGTTGGAATAACTAGAGTCTATGCATCTCTTAGCTCCAGCATGTGAGGTGGTTTTGACCCCTGATGTTGCTTTGAAGTTTGTAACACCCAAGGTTAGCCAAAATCGTCTTTCCTGTCTTGGCGCCATAAGTCCTTTATTGTGTTAATGCGCTGTAAAACCAAACAAACCAAACCAATCATTTGAAAAAAGTTGGAAATGAGCTCTATGATAAAGTATAGATCTATTATAAAAATAAATCATTCTTCTTCTTCTATAATTTGATTAAAGATATGTTTAGAGTTTTCATATAGACATACATGTATGGGCAGAATAAAAACTGTTTCATGAAATTTATTAACATTTCGATAATCATTTTTATTCAAAAATTGAGCAGATTAGCATTCCTGTTTTTAAGATTACCAAAAAAAAAGAAAGAATAAAATTCAAGAGCAGATAACTAAAAAACAGTTTAGTGACCCCCAGATTTTTTTTTGCTTAAATTTTTCTTTTAAAGATCATGCAAAATTTTATCAAACATTTTATGAAACAGCTTTCATTCTATTTGAGAACTGTAGTAAATGTCCTTTAATAAATTAGAAAGGACATTTTAACCTTTTAGTTGAAGGAAGCTACTCATGTTTAAAGAGACACACTGGAAATTTGTTTCAGAAACAAACAGTTTAAGTACATTTGTACTTTGTCTTAAGAAAACAATGGCTTGCCCCTGAAAGTTTTTGAACCTTAGATAACAAGTCTGCTGTGTTAATTACTGGGTCATCACTGTGTAGTCGTATCAGGCCTTATACTGTTGCCTCTGAATTTTAGTAATTCTATTCTAATGTATTCTATTCTAATGTATTCTAATGTATTCTATTCTAATGTATTCTATTCTAATGCATTCTATTCCTATCCTAGTGCATTCTATTCCCATTCCTTAAGTTTTCTATTTTAATGTATAGTATTCTAATGTATTCTATTCTATTTCAATGTAGGCCTATTCTGTTCTATTCTTATAAATTAATATATTCTACTCTATTCTATTCTAATATATTCTACTCTATTCTATTCTAATATATTCTACTCTATTCTAATGTATTCTATTCTAATATATTCTACTCTATTCTATTCTATTTAAATGCATTCTATTCGTTCAAATGACATTGTATTCTATTTAATTATATTTATAATTCTATACATGCAACCAGATTAGGGTTTAAAACATTGTGCAGGAAAAATAAAACTTATTGTTTGAGATTTTTTTGATCATACTTTCTTGAAGTCACAATGTCTATTCTTAAGTGATGATGTATAGGAAAAAATGATGAATTTATATCTAATTATATCTATAGATTAGATGAACGTAATACTTATATCAAATAAAAGTATTGTTCATGTTAGTTGTATGCACTTGAATTTTTTTTATCTCTAAATTTTGTGATAAGGGGTTATCATTTGTAATAATTTGTAAATTGTTTAATAAGTGCACCACCACTTCTTCTCTGTAATAAATGAGCCGCGTCATGACAAAACCAACATTATGGGTTTGCGACCAGCATGGATCCAGACCAGCCTGCGCATCCGCGCAGTCTGATCAGGATCCATGCTGTTCGCTATCAGTTCCCCTACTTCCAGACTGCGCTGATGCGCAGGCTGGTCTTGATCCATGCTGGTCGCAAACCCATTATGTTTGTTTTGTCATGACGCGGCTCAAATGTAGTATACATGTATTTATATGTTATACATTGAAAGCATTGTTTTAACGAGGAAAAAGTGGCCATTTAAAATAAAAGATGTTTAAAGTACATATTTAAAAAAACAAAACAGACTTGATAAGTATGCACTTAGTGACCTGACTGTGATTTCATTTAAACACTTAAATCGAAGGCCGATGACAGCAAGACTGTTGTAGGTCCTTCTTCATTTCATACAAGTTACTGTAGTTTTGTAGTCAAACCTCGAAATGTCTCCTTACAGTCTCAAAAAATAAAGCGTTTACTTTGCACCAAAATTTTTTGTTCCAATTCAATGTTTTACTTCACTTTTTATTGGGCCGTATATCAAGTCTTGAGTGCGTTTATTAGATAAAGTGGTGAGGCAAGTTTAAAATCTCTGATAAAAATAATTGAACAGAGGCATTTTTTATCAGCAGATAAAATCGAAACAGTTGAACTAGGAAGTCTTGTAATGTAAACTTCTGAAAAGTGTAACAGATATTCTTTTCTGCAGAAAGTTAATTATATCAGAAATAATGATCTTCTTTTCTCATATTAAAAGCACTGTGATATCTTGTACACTATTTTAAGACGTGGAAATATATAATTAAGAAATGGATATTTAGAGGATTTACTGGAAAGCGGGATATGTAGGTGAATTACAAGTATGTCTTGGGATAGAAGGAATCAGAATTACCACGATGAGCATGACAGAGGGCGCTTTGATCATGGAAATTATGATGATCGATATAGGGACCCGGGAAACTTTCGAGGGAGAGATTTAAGAGCAGACAGGGGCAATGGGGAACGTTTTGATGATATACGTGATTTTCAGAAAAATGATTTTGACGAAGGTTCCGATCGAAATTTTGGAAGAGGGAGATATGAATCACATGGGTATATGGATAATCCGGATGATAACTATTTACATCCTCTTCCTCCAGATGGGCATGCAAGGTATGGTAGAGAAATCATACCTAATGCAGACAACAGAAGGACTGGTAAAGATGGCAAGAGATTTAGAATGGAGGTTGATAACCACTTCTCCAATGATAGCCAACAAGATCACAGATATAGTGGTGAAAGAATGGAAATGAGAAATATGAATTCAGAGGATTATTTTGAAAGAGGCAGACATGAAAACCCTGCACCTCATCGGTTTTATGATGAAGATATGCATACAAAAGCAGACATTCATCATCAACAGAATGATTTTGGTGCTAGGGATGAATACTATGAAGATTTAGATGAAGTAGATCTTAGAGTAAGGCCAAATTATGGTGCAGATCAATTGAGAGCTAAATCTGAACCAAGAGAATATGAGCAATATGATTTTGATGAGCGTAAAAGAGATAATGCATGGGAAAAAAGGTCTGATAACAAAAGAAGACCATATCAAAGCCAACCTGATCTCATTGGTGGACATCAAAATATGGGGTTTGAAGGTGATTTGGATGAGAATGATCCTAATTACAGGCCAAAGGTTCATAGAGGAGTGTCCCTGAGACGAAGAACAAGAAAAAGCCGTAGAGAGCGTCGATCTGATTTCCAAAATGAACAGAGAATGTCATTTGCAGACGGCATGAAAACTATAATTCAGAGAAGAAAAACGCTACACATGCATAGACCTTTGTCTGAGTTGATGTCAAGTTCGAGAACAAATCGACCAGGCTCAGTGTTTCATGGTCCTGGAGATGATGACATTGATGATGAAGATGACAGGTTACCTAGCAACCGAAATAAAAAAAGGATGACCTTAAAAGAAAGAATGGAGATACGAGAAAAAAAAGGTCCTTTGACGACAGAAGATATGGCTAAACTACTCAGGTAATAATGGAAATGACATTTATCCATCCCTTGAAATACAACTTTAATGTTTTGAATGCTCAGATGTGACAATGATTTACCTTTATCATGACAAGGCCAACTTGCTGGTCTGTTTTGACCAAATTTTATAATCTAGGCTTGTCAACAATTACTGTAATGGTTAGAAATTGAAATCCCAACAAAGGACAGTCCCAACGTCAGGTGAAGTCCATAAAAAAAATTGCCAGATATTGTCCTGTTTCCTCATGTTTTCATTAAAACTTTTCTAAGACAGTCAATTTTGAATTTGAGGCAGTCATTTTCGGTTTTATTTCATACAACAAAAATATGCTTCTAAGTTTTGAGGCGGCCCAAAGCCATTTGAGACAGTCATTTTGGCCTACAGCTGTGTTCTTATAAATCTTGTCTATATTAATTTAATGTTTATATGATGGACTTGCAATGCTTTAAATTAGGAATTATCAGTAGAAAGTGTGATAAAAAGGTTCACAATTCTGTTGCGGTAACAAAACATAGTTTATTAATACATGTTTTGTTTTATGAAAGGCATGATATGCCTCAGAAACAAATATTTTTTAATTCTAAAGGAAGCTCAAACAGTAGTTTTATATTGTTTAATTAATGATTTTAGAGCATTTTAGAATGATGCTTATTACCTGAAGAAACTATGGGTGGATGTGAAATTATCTGTCTTGAAAGTAGCAAAATGTAAACATATTAATATTTTGTCTTCCTTACAAAATACTGAAAATCACTGAATATTTTTACTAATTGCCAAAAAAAAAAAAAAAAAAAAAAAGCAACAGAGGCGAAAGATGGTTCAGGTAATTGGCCAATTAGTAACATTTTGGGTACTATAAAAGTACATCAAAATTAAAAAGCTTTTGTAAAATAAAACTAAAAGCATTTATGGGGCATAATGTGCCTTTAAAGCTTATTCAGTTATAGAAACTTTAAAATTTCAAGGGTCCAACTGTATTGAGCCTGGTGATATTGCCTAGAATGGTGACATAATCAAGTTATCAATTGTAGAATAGTTCAAATGTGCAGTACATCAAAGGCTGGTGCACCTTAGTGATACATTTCAAAGCATTGGATTGATAAGTCATGCATTAAATATACCTCAATGCAAGAAAATTTTATATCTATCTCCATTCCAACATGATAACATAGAATTGATAGAAGATAATTATTATGTTGAACTGAGATATGTTGAACTATATTGAGTGGAGAAGTAATTACATGATGTTACTTGGTAAGATGATGTCACATCAGACATCATATGACATGTAGACATTTGCATGTAATAATTCTCCGGACTGCCCTTTGGAATAGTGTTAAAATAATTATTTACATGTGAATAATGTGAAGCATGTTAGAATAGTTATGTCTTTGGGGATAGTGTGAAGCGTGTTAGAATAATCATGTGTGTGGGGATAGTAAGAAGCTTGTAAGAATAATTATTTCAATGGGAATAGTGTGAAGCATGTTAGAATAATTATTTCTATGGGAAAAGTGTGAAGTATGTTAGAATAATTATTTCTATGAAAAGAGTCAGAAGCATGTTAGAATAATTATTTCTATGAGAATAGTGTGAAGCATGTTAGAATAATAACTTCTATGGAAGAGTGTGAAGCATGTAATAATAATAATTTCTATGGGAAGAGTGTGAAGCATGTTAGGATAATTATTTCTATGAGAAGAGTGTGAAGCATGTTAGGATAATTATTTGTATGGGAAGAGTGTGAAGCATGTTAGAATAATTATTTCTATGGGAAGAGTGTGAAGCATGTTAGGATAATTATTTATATGGGAAGAGTGTGAAGCATGTTAGGATAATTATTTCTATGGCAAGAGTGTGAAGCATGTTAGGATAATTATTTCTATGGGAAGAGTGTGAAGCATGTTAGGATAATTATTTCAATGAGAAGAGTGTGAAGCATGTTAGGATAATTATTTTTATGGCAAGAGTGTGAAGCATGTTAGGATAATTATTTCTATGGGAAGAGTGTGAAGCATGTTAGGATAATTCTTTCTATGGGAAGAGTGTGAAGCATGTTAGGATAATTATTTCTATGGGAAGAGTGTGAAGCATGTTAGGATAATTATTTCTATAGGAAGAGTGTGAAGCATGTTAGGATAATTATTTCTATGGGAAGAGTGTGAAGCATGTTAGGATAATTATTTCTATGGGAAGTGTGTGAAGCATGTTAGGATAATTATTTCTATGGGAAGAGTGTGAAGCATGTTAGAATAATTATTTTTTAACACAAGCATGTAAAAAAACTTTTTCTATTTTCAGGGACAAGGTTTTATCACAAGAGGCTTCACATGGATTGGACCTGCAGAATTTTAAAATGGTAAATATTTACTTAAAGGCTCATTTTTATTTGTTTGGGTCGTCAGACCAATTTCAAATAATGGTAGCGAAATTTCAGACTCTAATGCTGTTAATTGCAAGTGCCGAAAGTAGTACGCTTTTTTGAAGGGGTTACTTCCCATTATATGTAACACTTAGGCCGAAAAATTTAGGGGAGATCACTGCGTAAATATTGGTCACATGACAGGCGGATTAATTTTCAAGCAAAATAATTCCCGAATGGTCAAAGATTTTTAATATTGTTTTATTCTTTATAGATATACATGCTTATAGTAAGCGCCATGATTATTTACACAAGTGTGAAACAACAGTTAGCGTCGTTACAAACCCTAACTAGAATAATATGGTTTTCTTCAGGCCGTTAACATGTAAATCCACCGTGGCCGAGAGGTTTGCGTGCTCGCTTAGGAAACAAGAGGTCTGGAGTTCAAATCCTAGTTAAGGCTTTTCATTTTTTTTTTCAAATTGTTTAAGTCAAATAAACATTGGATCAAATATCAGTGTTGCAATTAGTCTTATAGCCAATCTACTACAATTAAAACGCTGGAAAGCATTGGTGGCACTATACAAAAAACAAATTGTTTTATAATCTCACAACCTTCACCTTTCTGACATTCTGAGACCCAAACAAATTCAGCGCCTTCTGTGCTTTGATTTTTTTCTCAAAATTGTTTTAGTTTTTTGTACCTTGTTACTGAGTTTAAAAAAATTACTCATTTGACAAACAACCTTTTGCTCTGTTGATCTTTTGCTCTGTTCGCAATTGGTATAATTAGTATTTTGTATGGATGTCAAAATACTACTTTGTTTACATTTTGTTTCCTATATAGCACATTACTGCACTTTCAGCATATGCTATTTTCTCTAACATGCCCATATTAAAACATTATTAAATACATGTTTTTACATTTTAAATGAATTTAAAAAATATGGATTTTTGTACAATAACTGAATTGTAAGTTAAGATAAGGACAGGTGTTTCTGGCAAAGCACAACTTCACTCTTACATAGTCCAAAGAACCCTATACTTTGGTCTACTTAATTTAAATATTTTGACATTGAAATATCTTTGGCTATAAACGAACAGCTCTAATTTCCAAGCAGGAAAGTTTATTCTGTAAATCAGATAAATTAATCAGAATTTCTTTCCTGTTTTTTTTGTGTGTTCTGAATGATTCAATATTTATCTTCCTATTTATAACAGATGGAAATGTGACATGTGTTTCTAGATTCTTTACCAAATCAGACCGGTTGTTTAGTAATTTTGAAGAGTTTTTGAATGTTTCTAATGTTAGGCATAGGCCATACTCTCTTTGACAATCAAAGTAAATAACATTGTGAATATAATTCAATGTCATTTGTAGCTATGAAATATGTAAGCAAAAACTGTTGTTAACCTCTGTTACTGTTGTCTCTTCCAATCTCGCCATGTGAGGTCAAGATAACGTTAGCTCGTTTATGGAATGTCAGTGGACCTACTCAGGTGCTTGCTTAGGCCTGATTTACTGCACAGAGGAGCACCTGTTTGTCTTTCTCCACCGGTAAAGCTACCAACAGTTGCTATATACCATCGCATAGACATGAAACAAAATAAGGCCTGTACCTTTTGACCTTGGAGGGCATGTATGATTAACATAGAAATAATCTTTAACCTAAAGTTTACTTCCTGCTACTTCATGGATAGGTTGCTATCAATTATAGATTAGTACTCAGCAGAGAGTAAGATTAGTACCTGTAACAATATGGTATTTTTGTCACCTTAGCTATCAATCTTTATAATACTTCATGTTTATACGTCTCTTTTCATTGTATCATTGTGACATTTATATAAGTTTTATATACTCGGCTGCTGTCAATTTATAAAGATATTTCATCTTTTTTTCTCTAATAAAAAGATGACTGCTGTAGTATAAATTCGTTATAAATATTTCTGACAGGTTTTATGGCCATATATAAGTGGTTGTTTGCAATATAACCCAGAGCCACCATTTCCAAACAGCCATTTATATATGGCCATATAACCTGTCAAAATCTTTTTTCATAATAAAGTACACAGCAGGTGCCACAGGAGCATAATATGAAGTCTTGGACAATTTTCCATGCGATACATAGACTATTATTAGTAATATAATAGTTTTGTTTTGTGTCTTTGTTTTAGGTGGATTTCTATGATAATATTAAACAGGTAATGTTACATGTATGTTGGTTAATGCTAAAATGGCCTTGGTTAATGCTAAAATGGCCCAGCAATGTTTTTCTGTATTGGTTCGACATGTGATTGCCGACACATTTAATTAAGAACAATGTTCCAGGACACGGATCTATGTCCAGTGTAAGTCGATGTTTGAGGTTGATTAAAATAGAAATTCTGCTAAAAGTATGAATTTCCACCCTGTCAAACAGTTTTTAATACTGACCTATGCTGGGCCAATATAAAATGTTAGCCATGAGAATGAATTTTCAAACTGAAAGCTAACAGCTTGGCCAATAGGAGGCTAATGCATGCTACCATTGAGTGTTATAGACTATAAACCTCTCTAATGCATGCTACATTGTTCTACAGACATAAACCCTCATGTAAGGGCCAATATAAAATGTAAACAGTAAGAATGATGCATGCTACATTGTTCTACAGACATAAACCCTCATGTTAGGGCCAATATAAAATGTAAACAGTAAGAATGATACATGCTACATTGTTCTACAGACATAAACCCTCATGTTTGGCCAATATAAAATGTAAACAGTAAGAATGATGCATGCTTCATTGTTGTACAGACATAAACCCTCATGTTAGGGCCAATATAAAATGTTAACAGTAAGAATAATGCATGCTGTATTGTTTTACAGATATAAACCCTCATGTTAGGGCCAATATAAAATGTTAACAGTAAGAATAATGCATGCTGTATTGTTTTACAGATATAAACCCTCATGTTAGGGCCAATATAAAATGTTAACAGTAAGAATAATGCATGCTGTATTGTTTTACAGATATAAACCCTCCTGTTAGGGCCAATATAAAATGTTAACTGAGAATGATGCATGCTGTATTGTTTTACAGATATAAACCCTCCTGTTAGGGCCAATATAAAAGTAAACAGTAAGAATGATGCATGCTACATTGTTCTACAGACATAAACCCTCATGTTAGGGCCAATATAAAATGTTAACAGTAAGAATGATGCATGCTGTATTGTTTTACAGATATAAACCCTCCTGTTAGGGCCAATATAAAATGTAATCAGTAAGAATGATGCATGCTACATTGTTCTACAGATATAAACCCTCCTGTTAGGGCCAATATAAAATGTTAACTGAGAATGATGCATGCTGTATTGTTTTACAGATATAAACCCTCCTGTTAGGGCCAATATAAAATGTAAACAGTAAGAATGATGCATGCTACATTGTTCTACAGATATAAACCCTCCTGTTAGGGCCAATATAAAATGTTAACTGAGAATGATGCATGCTGTATTGTTTTACAGATATAAACCCTCCTGTTAGGGCCAATATAAAATGTTAACTGAGAATGATGCATGCTGTATTGTTTTACAGATATAAACCCTCCTGTTAGGGCCAATATAAAATGTTAACTGAGAATGATGCATGCTGTATTGTTTTACAGATATAAACCCTCCTGTTAGGGCCAATATAAAATGTAAACAGTAAGAATGATGCATGCTACATTGTTCTACAGATATAAACCCTCCTGTTAGGGCCAATATAAAATGTTAACTGAGAATGATGCATGCTGTATTGTTTTACAGATATAAACCTCCTGTTAGGGCCAATATAAAATGTTAACAGTGAGAATGATGCATGCTGTATTGTTTTACAGATATAAACCCTCCTGTTAGGGCCAATATAAAATGTTAACTGAGAATGATGCATGCTGTATTGTTTTACAGATATAAACCCTCCTGTTAGGGCCAGTATAAAATGTTAACAGTGAGAATGATTCATGCTACAGTGTTGTACTGGCATAAACCCTCATGTTGAGCCAATATAAAAACTTCATGGTTAGAACAATTCATGCACCTTTGTTGTACAGACATAAACCCTCATGGTTGGCCAATATGAGAATAATATATTGTTGTACAGACATAAACCCTCATGTGGATAAACTCTCATATAAAATGTTAACTGTGAAAATAATGCATATTGCCTTAAAATGTAGAAAGTTAACATAGATGTGGGATATCGTTTCTGGTGGTATAGTGTGACATTGTTGTGATTTTGAACAATTATTTTATCATATTTATAAGCATTAACTAACAAATTAACCTCATGTATGTGATTATATTTATAACTTTCATAACTTATTTAATAGTAATATATATTAAAAAACTATATGTATTATAATTATTATGTATATTTATAATATGTCTGTGTTTAAAAGATGTTATCAGAAACTCTGCAAATGTTGATTTCTCTTATCTGATGCAGGCGTTAATATAAACGACCACTTTTACCTGTCAAGTAATTGTGTTTTTAGAGAACGCCACCTCGTTATGTCACAAGTGTCAACAATCAAAACACAACAATAAACGTGTGAAAAACTCTATTTCCCATACCGTTTTAGCGTATGCAAATGAAGTTAAGTATACGCGTGACGTGTATTATCCAATAATATCGGATAAACAATGCAACGCTCCGCCCATACTGAGATGGTGTATACGCTTCGCTTGTTGACATTTAGACTGCATTGAATTGACCTTGAACTTGATCAGCCATTAAATTAATCGTAACAAATAGATGTAGTTTGTTTATTTCAAATGAAAAAAATGCACAACAGAAAACATCTTCACTAATAGGGTTTTCGTGTTGGAGACAAGGAAAACAACAGAGAAGTTAAAAAATTCTGGAAAAAATGTCAAACATGTATTGGGTGTTTCCCTTGCCCGGTCGCTTAATACACGTTTGACTGTAATGTCTTTTAAATTGCACATGCATGATCTCATAACAGTTATGTGCTGACTAAAAAAAAAAGCTGAGCAAATTCTTTAAAGCTGCATGACTCCAGAAAAGCCAAAAAACTTCAAGAAAATCAAACTTTAGAAAAATTTACAAAGATTTTAAGAAGAGTAAAAAGATTCAAGGTTCATGAAATAATTTACATGTTATGTGTGTTTAATAACTGATTTTGCAGTATTTATTATCATATTTCTACTGCGTGACTAACGCAGTAAAGACTATTTTTGCATATTTTGACCTCTTTTTGTCTACTAACATGGAATGAAGTTGGATTGTAAGTGCCATTTGCAATGTGTAAATTACATTCTTTGTTCACTTCACAATATTTTACTTTTCAATACTTCTTTTAAATTTTTCTTGTAAATAAGCATGAATCTGGAAGCATACTGCTTTAGAGCCAATTTTCACATTCATTGCAAAGAAAAGTAAATAAGGGGCTGCCACTCTTGTTAAGTGAGCTAAATATTATTTAAATCGAAAAAATATCTTTGATATTTAATATAATTTTAATATATTACTTTTGTGATTTCAGAAATGGCATAGCTTCACAAGCTGGACAAAAAATTGGGTGTACCAACTTGAACTTTGGGCTGGGGCATTCAAGGTCATTGAAGGTGAGAAACTTGAAGCTTTGGATGGTGTTTTGTTTTGACTTTATACTGTTGATAATTACTTTTATCATTTTGAATTGAAATTTGTTGTATGTCTATTTTTACATTTTTTTTACCCCTCGAAACTTTTGGGATTAAATGATTTTGTAAAATTTGTTTGTTTGATTGGGTTTTATGTCACAACAACACAGGATAGGTCGACGTTCCAGCTTTACTGACGGAGGAAGATCTCGGGTTCCCTTCCATGCATTATTCCAGGTACGAACGGGCATCTGAGTATAACCACCAACATTCCGTAATTGATCTGCATGAAAGTATCAAAGTCCTGGCAGGATTTGAACCTACAGCAATGAAAAGGCAAGTGGTTTGAAGACAACAACCTTAACCATGACCAAGGTCATCCCCATTGTCAGAGTGAAATACAAAAAAAGACATTAATCATTTTTTAAGTGTCTTTTTTAAATTAAGTATTTAAAGTAAGATTTTTAAAACTGAAATCTATAAAGGAATGATTTAATCATTGAAGTGTTTAATTGAAAAAAAAAATAAGGTTAGATTTATCAAATTTTAAAATAAACAAATTGAAGAGAAAAAAAAGACACCTATCTTAATAAATTTTTTTTTACACAATCTTTAACCCATGAGACAATTTAATTTAATCTTCGTCTTTTTAAATTGATTGTTATCTTGTTTAATTTTATTGTTTACCTATGCTTGAGAATTTTGTGTATTGTTTAAATGGTAAAGTAATGTTCGTCAAGCTATCTAGTAAATCTGATTTGTTGAACAATTATGTAAGAATCAAATTACTAAAAGTACTGACAAAATGCTTGAAAGTTTGAAAAGTTTAGAAGATATCTTTCAGATCACACTTTGTCAACCACTTTAAGATATCATAATTATGAAGGTGATATGGCCATCCAAAAATAATTACAGCAGGACAGTCTTGTTCCTTAACTAATCATGCCTGTGAATGGGATGGGTTTTCCAGACTGTGAGAGGGATGAGAGTTTCAGACTGTGAGCGGGATTAGTATACCAGTTTGTGAGAAGGATGGGTGTCCTAGACTGTGAGAGGAATGGGAATACCAGATTGGTAGAGGGATGGGTTTCCTAGACTTGAGAGGGACTGGTATACAAGTTTGTGAGAGGGATGGGTGTCCTAGACTGTGAGAGGAATGGGTATACCAGATTGTGAGAGGAATTGGTATTTCAGTTTGTGAGAGGGATGGTTGTTCCAGACTGTGAGAGGGATTTGTTTACCAGTTTGTGAGAGGGATGGGTGTCCTAGAATGTGAGAGGGATTGGTATACCAGTTTGTGAGAAGGATGGGTGTCCTAGACTGTGAGAGGAATGGGAATGCCAGATTGGTAGAGGGATGGGTTTTCCTAGACTTGAGAGGGATGGGTGTCCTAGACTGTGAGAGGGATGGGTATACCAGTTTGTGAGAAGGATAGGTATATTAGACTGTGATGGGAATGGGAATACCAGATTGTGAGAGGAATTGGTATTTCAGTTTGTGAGAGGGATGGTTGTTCCAGACTGTGAGAGGGATGGGTATACCAGTTTGTGAGAAGGATGGGTATATTAGACTGTGAGAGGGATGGGTGTCCTAGACTGTGAGAGGAATGGGTATACCAGATTGTGAGAGGAATTGGTATTTCAGTTTGTGAGAGGGATAGTTGTTCCAGACTGTGAGAGGGATGGGTATACCAGTTTGTGAGAAGGATGGGTATATTAGACTGTGAGAGGAATGGGAATACCAGATTGTGAGAGGAATTGGTATTTCAGTTTGTGAGAGGAATGGTTGTTCCAGACTATGAGAGGGATGGGTATACCAGTTTGTGAGAGGGACGGGTGTCCTAGACTGTGAGAGGGATGGGTATACCAGTTTGTGAGAGGGACGGGTGTCCTAGACTGTGAGAGGGATGGGTATACCTGATTGTTAGAGGAATTGGTATTTCAGTTTGTGAGAGGGATGGTTGTTCCAGACTATGAGAGGGATGGGTATACCAGTTTGTGAGAGGGATGGGTGTCCTAGACTGTGAGAGGGATGGGTATACCAGATTGTGAGAGGAATTGGTATTTCATTTTGTGAGAGGGATGGTTGTTCCAGACTGTGAGAGGGATTGATATACCAGTTTGTGAGAGGGATGGGTGTCCTAGACTTCGAGAGGGATGGTTGTTCCAGACTGTGAGAGGGATGGGTATACAAGTTTGTGAGAGGGATCGGTGTCCTAGACTGTGAGAGGGATGGGTATACCTGATTGTGAGAGGAATTGGTATCTCAGTTTGTGAGAGGGATGGTTGTTCCAGACTGTGAGAGGGATTGATATACCAGTTTGTGAGAGGGATGGGTGTCCTAGACTGTGACAGGAAATGGTTTACCAGTTTGTGAGAGGGATGGGTGTCCTAGACTGTGAGTGGAATGGGTATACCAGATTGTGAGAGGAATTGGTATTTCAGTTTGTGAGAGGGATGGTTGTTCCAGACTGAGAGGGATAGGTATACCAGTTTGTGAGAGGGATGGGTGTTCTAGACTGTGAGAGGGATGGGTATACCTACCAGTTTGTAAGAGGAATGGGCATTTCTGTTTGTGAGAGGGATGGTTGTTTCAGACTGTGAGAGGGATGGGTATACCAGTTTGTGAGAGGGATGGGTGTACTAGACTGTGAGAGGGATTGGTATACCAGTTTGTGAGAGGGATGAGTGTCCTAGACTGTGAGAGGGATGGGTATACCAGTTTGTGAGAAGGATGGGTGTCCTAGCCTGTGAGAGGAATGGGAATACCAGATTGTGAGAGGAATTGGTATTTCAGTTTGTGAGTGGAATGGTTATTCCAGACTATGAGAGGGATGGTATACCAGTTTGTGAGAGGGGTGGGTGTCCTAGACTGTGAGAGGGATGGGTATACCTGATTGTGAGAGGAATTGGTATTTCAGTTTGTGAGAGGGATGGTTGTTCCAGACTATGAGAGGGATGGGTATACCAGTTTGTGTAAGGGATGGGTGTCCTAGACTGTGAGAGGGATGGGTTATACCAGATTGTGAGAGAAATTGGTATTTCAGTTTGTGAGAGGGATGGTTGTTCCAGACTGTGAGAGGGATTGATATACCAGTTTGTGAGAGGGATGGTTGTTCCAGACTGTGAGAGGGATAGGAATACCAGTTTGTGAGAGGGATGGGTGTCCTAGACTGTGAGAGGAATGGGAATACCAGATTGTGAGAGGAATTGGTATTTCAGTTTGTGAGAGGGATGGTTGTTCCTGACTAAGAGGGATAGGTATACCAGTTTGTGAGAGGGATGGGTGTCCTAGACTGTGAGAGGGATGGGTATACCTACCAGTTTGTAAGAGGAATGGGCATTTCTGTTTGTGAGAGGGATGGTTGTTCCAGACTGTGAGAGGGATGGGTATACCAGTTTGTGAGAGGGATGGGTATTTCAGTTTGTGAGAGGGATGGTTGTTCCAGACTATGAGAGGGATAGGTATACCAGTTTGTGAGAGGGATGGGTGTCCTAGACTGTGAGAGGGATGGGTATTTCAGTTTGTGAGAGGGATGGGTATACCAGTTTGTGAGAGGGATGGTGTCCGCCCATGGGCGTGTTTCCGAGGGAGGGATATTCCGATCCGAACTGCAAACATATGTCAGATATTTTTTCTTGCATATTATGCCATATTATTTCATATTTAAAATGGTTAACCTCAATATGATATATGTACATGGAAATTAGAGTCATTTCATCCATAACTATTTTCTTACAATAGCGCATGAACTTACAACTAAAATAACAACGGCGAAATGACGTCATCCTAAGCACATATTTCCCTTCTAAAACGACGTCAGTTTAACGCGGTTCATTCATAAAGTGCGCTAAAATGACGTTGTTTGGCACGCGCCTCATCTGGCACCCTACATGCCAGATGAAATTTCCGGCATGGGTAAAACTCACGGGAACGCCAGTCTGCTATGCAAGAATGTAAGAGGGATGGGTGTCCTAGACTGTGAGAGGGATGGGTATACCAGTTTGTGAGAGGGATGGGTATCTTAGACTGTGAGAGGGATGGGTGTCTTAGACTGTGAGAGGAATTGGTATTTCAGTTTGTGAGAGGGATGGGTATACCAGTTTGTGAGAGGGATTGGTATTCCATTTTGGAGAGGGATGGGTGTTTCAGTTTGTTAGAGGGATGGGTGTTCCAGTCTGTGAGAGGGAGAATATACCAATCTGTAAGAGGGATGGGTATTCAAGTCTGTAAGAGGGATGGGTGTTCCAGTCTGTGAGAGGGTTAGGTATTCCAGTCTTATAGGCAGGGAAAGGCTTACAATAATTTTCTTTCTTTTTTGCAGAACTTTTTTTATATCAAGAAAACAATCTCTTTTCTTATTATTTCAGGTCATTTTGGACAATCTACGGTATCCTATTTTCGTTTTCTACGTTGGTTGATGTTTCTGAACCTGTTCATGACCCTTATAATGTTTGGTGTTGTTCTTCTGCCCTTCTTATCCCTGGATATTGGCGGAAGTTTTGTATCGTCTGTGAATGCCTGCTCCTCTATACCGAATAACATGGCCGTATTCTATACGTTGAACTACACTGCAGACGTGAAATCAAAAGTCAACCAATCCAGTACAGCTGAGAAAGTTCAGGATGTTCTTCAAGGAACGGTATGTTCATTACATATAATTCTATGGTAACAGCAATAGTTTTGTTTATTGATGACTTTATCAACAGAAATATTGTTGTTTATTGTCAATAGAGATACCTGGGAACTTGGCAAACTTGGGTTTTTCCCCGTCTTATTCCGGGTACAAACAAAGTTGGTTAATATATTGATGATAAGGGCTACGTCTTGATCACCACTCTGTTGTGAAGGGTAATTTACCCTGAAGCTATTACAGTAAAAGGTTGTTTGTATCCCAGGATAAGATGGGGGAAAACCCACATTTACCAAGCTCTGGGTAACATCTATACTCAACTAGAATATAGCCACATGCAAGGTCTTTCTTCCTTCTGGTGAAAGTTGGACCTATGGTAAAGAGTGATTTAAGTTAGGTTGTGAAGGTTGTATAAATGACCCTAAAGTTTTTAGATGTAGGAAGATCAGGGATGCCAATATGCCTTGTAAAATATATGTCTTGTTTTCCATTGCTCTTCATATCCAACTTTTAAAATATTATATCCAAAAATTTGCAAGTAAGATCTGTTTCAATAAGGTTTTGTATTATAAACTATTAAAACAAAACATTTTAAGTTTTAACTTTTTGTAAGGTCATTTCAGAATGTTACGTATTTAAAGAAGTATATGTTTAACCAGTTGATGAATTTTAATGGGAAATAAAATGATATATACTGTATATATACATATATATATATTCAAGGGTTGGATGGAGAATACTGTGTTATTTTACGGGGCCTATCATAACAAGACAGCTTACCTGATAACAGGAGATGCATTCACATATAACATGTCCCTTGCTTACCTTTGTGCCGTCGGTCTGACCTTTATGCTGAGCTTTATACTGCTTGTAAAAAAGTAAGTATGTTATCTTATTTTATAGGCTATTGTATTTTTAGCTTGACTATTTGAAGAATAGGGAGAGCTGGGTGTACTCACCCTGGCGTCTTGGTCAGTGACACATTCTGTATAAAGCAGCACGCCTCCCGATCATGCTAATTTTCATGAAAATTTTGAAAATGTATTTGAATGTGTAATATTGTGAAGTAACCAAAGGGAACAAATTTACACATTATCAATGACACTTACAAGCCACATAACATAACCAAAAAGTGGTCAAAATATGCATAAATAGCCCTTACTGCGTTAGTAATGCAGTTGAAATATAGTTTTAAATAATGAAAAATCAGTCATTAATCACACATAATATGTAAAATATAACTTGAATCTTGAAAATTTTTACTTTTCCTTACATCTTAGTACATTTTTTTCAAATTTAATTTTATTGAAATATTTTGACTCATCTGGAGGCATGTAGCTTTAAGTTTATATGTGCAAGTTGATATGTCAAAAAATACTATCCAAAAGTCACTATCCAAGGTCAATAGCTCTGACATTGATTTTGACACTGACTGGCATCCTATATATAACAGGCAGATATGTTGTTGTAAACAATAGCAGAATTAAATGCTGACTGCAAAATATTACTTCCAAATCATTATAATTTATGGGAAAAAACCCCAAAAAAAAACAAAACAAGTAAGTTATTTTAGACAATGTGAAATAGTGTCATTTCTTTAGAAGAAAAAAGAATAAATATAAATCTTCTATATCCTATATATATCTATCTTAGATATTAAAATATGTTGTTTTTTTTTTTAAAAAATTATGATTTTTCATCCCTACTTGTGGACCCAATGCAAAAAAACCAAAACAACAACAACAAAAACAACAACAAAAAAACGGTTAATCATTTAAGATAGATACATATAGGATAAAGAGATTTGTCTGTGTTTGTGGCCTTAACATAAGATCCCTGAAGTTACTAAACATATAAAGTATATTTCTGAACATTAAAAGTATATTTATCACATATTTTTGTGAAATGTGCAATGACAATGTACTTTAGAAGACTTGGATGGATGTCCCCCTCCCCGTCCCTCATGGGCACGTACATTGTTATATCAAACATTACACTGTTACTAATGAATATAAATGTATGTTTAATAACCTTTTCAAAACAATTGGGGTGACAGATACAGTATTTTCTTATCAATTATAAAAAAATGAAAAATAATGTGAAGAAAATGTTGAAAAAAGCTCAAAATTAAAAAAGCGGGATGTTTTTGCACAGTAAAAAAAAAACAACAAAAAAAAAAAAAAAAAAAACAACACAAAATTATCCAAAATATTAAAAACATTTTTTTTTATTTCATTTTTTTTTTTCATTTACCTATTAAGACTTAATGTAACACTTTTTTTATTGTTAATAACCTTAGTCAAGTGACCTGGTGTTATTTTGTCACATTTTATATATATATATAATATTCATCATGGTAATTAAGGTATAACTGCACTATTGTTGATAAGCCTTATCTGCTCGTAGATGTTTACATTGTTCGTGATCTGAAAGAAAGATAACCTGAACAAAGATAAATGATCAACATGGTTGTATCTGGTTGTCACCCTTGACTAAATAATGCATGATATCTATAAATAGCCTCTGAACAGGAAATGAACCAGTTTAATATTCTCTTTGTTACATATTTGAACAAATATCCCATTTATTTCAAAACGTTTGATTTTTGGTGCATGGTTAACTCAAATTTAAGTGGAAGATATAGTTAGTTTAATGTATTATGATAAAATTAATCATTTTATATTTCAGGTTTATTATTATTCATGTATTTTTTATGGATATTTGAAAAGTTGAATTGGTCACCATACTCCTGTTGTAAAATTTGTTGTATATAAACCTTAAATTTTGTGTTTAAAGTTAACTCTGGTTTCACTACAGTCACGAATAAATCTTTCGCCTTTTACTAAAGATTTCCGTGCAGTGGAACAATCAATGAGTCTATAGACTTATTTCTGAAATCCTTCTAACGAAGGATACTTAACCCTTTACCACATATATACACGAAACAACGCACTTTCGACCCCCCCCCCTTTTTTAGGCCTCAAATAGTGAAAAAATGTCCTGTTTGGGCCCAAAACATAAGTTTTCGTTTGAGAAATGTTGCTAAAAAAATTGAGCACTTTTTCTGCGCCGCCCCCCATCCAAAAGATACATCAGGGGGTTGCCAGAAGGGGGATGTGCCCCCTTCTGTTAGGGGGGTTTGAAGGGGGGAGGAGTCCCCCTCATCGCCAAGAAAATTTTAGACTTGTGAGAGGCTAAAAATGACCCCAGGTCGATCATAATGTAACGTTTAACCAACGCTGAAAAGCCTTTGACTCTATCTCAATCCCTTGAGCAGTTGCAGCACTTTGAAATAAATTTTGACGGAAAAAATCGAGGCAAAATAGTGATTTTTGGCAATTTTGAGATGTCCCCTCGTTGCCATGGTAACAGAAAATTTAAGACTGAGCATGTCGTTACCAGGGCTGGGAATCAAAACTGCGTCGTATCCTACAAAATGTAAACAAATGCCGCCATCTTGGAAGCGAAAAACGTATGTTTTTGTTTATAACTCTTTTTCTTGGAAATGACTGAAAACAAGATATATGCATTAACACGCTACACTATTTTCCGCTTGTTCGGTATATGTTGCTTGCACAACTATTTTGTAAAACAAAAGTTATAGCGAACTTGCAACTCGAAGCGGGGCAGAATTTTTATGAAAATGTGTGGATACGAAGCAGTTCATATTGCTTTGTCTATCGTTTTGCCTTCAAATCAATTATATACTCGTTTTCAGAGTTCACCGTAAACGTCAAAACATAATTTTGCATCATTTACTTAACTTTCATTTAAAAGAGATGTTTATTTTCTAAGAAAATAATGATTTTTACGAAATGATACGACGCAGTTGAAAATAAAATATGATACGACGCAGTTGTATTTTTGGCAGTCTTTTCAACAGGGATAATTTTGGCAATATTTTTCTATTTTATGGAATAATCACTTGCGCTAGATAAAAACCCAGATCATTTGCGGTGTAAAGCAATGTTCTGTTGATTATTTAGAATACAATGTGTCATGTCCAATATAACATTTAATTTGAAAGTTTACATTGCGGAAGCTACTTTTCAGTTAAACATGAACATGTTACCTTATTGATCATAATATCTGAAATAATTTCTTATATTTTCCTGTATGTTCAATATTATCCCTAATTTTTTTCGCAAAAAAAAAAATGTAGAAATCTATTAACTTAAATTCATTTTGGCTAGCTACGCTCTAAGTTAACTGTGGTTCTGCATGTTCTGGGTAATGACTGCTTTTTTGTGGTTTCTTTTCAAACTTTCACTCTACACATTAGCTTTACTAGGGGCGAGGACCTCAGGTGCGCCTTTGTGCATTATTTCAGGCAAAATGTTGTACCTGCAGAGAACCGTCGACATTTTGAAACTAGCTTGATAGGTTTTCCACACAAAAGAATAAAAAGTCCCTGGTGGTTTTCGAATTCATAGCAGTTCAGTTCAAGTGATTTGAATTCAGTAAACATAAACAGCTCGGCCTCGGTCGGACACACCTGTCTGATTTGTTTTTTCAACAAAATTTGTTAACGTCAGCTGTACAAATAAGCAGCTTTTTTATTAACTTCTGGCGTGAAGTTTTAAGATTATAAATATTTGAAATAATTATAAAGAGAATAAAATTTAAATTTCTTATTTCGGTATTAATAGCAGAGAAATTTTCAATGTAAACAGGGGGTAATCCTCTGTGAAGTCATTTTCTGAAAACTTTTGTTTAAGTTTTCAGGCAATTCATTATCAAATAAAAATCACACTTTAGTATGAAGGTATGTTAAGATGTCATGTCTCTAGTCTGTTGAAAATTCGATACGATAATCTGACATTTTCTGTTCAATATTGTGAAAACTTAATAATTCTTCAATACTGTTGAAAGATCATGTCTGCCTATATCTGTATCAAATTTATCGGTGCATAGCGTAAAATACCTTTGCAAAACGGACACCTTTTTTACAAAATAATTTGTAGTTGTATCATATGTAACTCGATTTTGAAAAGTTTTTTGATGGAAAAGAATGATACTTAAGTGCAAATATAGAAAAAATACATTCCGTCGACCTTTCCTCATCGGCGATAAAGAAACGCAGGGGTAAAGTTCCGCGGCGCTGAACATAAAATGACTAAACGGAACGCATAACCTACTTGCAAAAATATATTGTAGCTTAACCATTTATAATATAATTTAAAAAATTTAATGTTCAGTTTCAAATAATAAAGCTCATCTGTCCTCGTCGATTATTAAGAAAATGAATGCAATAAAATTGGCACTAAAAGACATAAGTAATAACGGAATTGACGGAAATTATTGCTCATTACAAGTAACAACGGTAGGCATGCAATTTGCGCATTCCCGATAGCGAGAGACCTTTTCAAAATTTGTAATTTTTTCTCTTTTTTTTTAAGAAAAAAGTCATTCCTGATTAATACAGGGTCCAGTGGAGGTTACACTGAATTTTGTATCAAAAATAGTAATCACTCCCATTTCGAACTCACGTGAACAAGTTTATTAGCATGCTAAGGCAACAGTAGAACACGTTGTCATATGGATGTGCGATCACGTGTTTCAATATATATTGCATTTGATACAGCTTTTCGGAATTTGTAGATGCTTATGATTAGTACTAAAATGCGACCGAAAAATGCAGCCTTAATAGAATTGTATTACATTTCCATTTTTATGAAACCAATGAGTGACCTCTGCTTTTGACTTCAGTTGTAAACAAGAAATGTTGTAGGACGTTATTGGCATACCTAGCACATAATTTAAATAGTTTAACCCATATTCAGCCTGCAATGAAAATACAACTGCGTCGTATCATATTTTATTTTCAACTGCGTCGTATCATTTCGTAAAAATCATTATTTTCTTAGAAAATAAACATCTCTTTTAAATGAAAGTTAAGTAAATGATG